CATAGGATTTCAGTGGAGTGGTGAATGAAAACAGCAGCAGTAACCACACTGGACACCTGAAATTCCAGGGACTGGGATGTCCTTCATCTCATGGTTTGCAGTCTCAGAGCCCTTGTTTGCTGGCAGTGTTGGCAGTCCCAGCTGTGGGGTTTTTCTGGAGGGGTTTTACACCAGCCACATCCCCTGCAGCAGTTTGAGCCCTGTCAGTGCTCACCAGGAACAAATCCTGTGCCAGGAATGTGAAACCTGCAGAGTGTGATGGCTCTCATGTTTCTGGTGGCACTAACTCAGGGCTTGCATTGAAGTGCTGGGGGTTTGTTTATTCAGATGGCCAAGTAATTAGTGTCAAGCAAATTTAATGGTTTGTATTGTAATACTTTGTTGGTTAGTGAAATGCCAGCTTAAATGATCAGGAATCCAGTGTTGTATGCTGTAGCTTTTTGTGGATTGTGGTACTATTTCATTGTAAGAGTTGGCTGTAGTAAAATTTGGCTATTAGTTACTTCCTGGCTTGTGTTTTTAAAGAGTAAAAATTTCTGCTGTAAAATCCTACAAAATGAGCAATTTCCAACTATGACAAGAAAAGGTGTTTATGACTCAGGGCAGAATAGAGCAGGGCTTTTCTTCAATGATTTTGCTTTTGTAGAAAACCAATACAAAACATCCTTCTCAGGGGGAAAACTAACAAAAGTGAATATGCATGTGACAATCTTGTTGTGAATCATGTGTCACTGACAGAGGGAGATGCAAGTTAATCTAAATCCAGTTTAAATAAAATTTTCTTAAGAAATTGGAATTAGAATTGTTTTGTTTTTTTTTTTTAATTCAGCCTCTTTGTTCTTTTATCTCAGATATGTTTTTAATTGTCAGGTTTTGTTCAAGCACTGATTTAAGAATGGGGAATGAAGTAACCCACTACTGGTGAAGGGCTGGTGCAGATAGTAGTTAGAGAAACAGGAAAAGTAACTTCAGTGACCTCTAGTGAGGTGTAACTTCAGTGACCTCAGTTCCTAGGGTGTGATAGCTAATGCCAATGCACTCATACAAGGACCTGAGACATTTGTTAATAATTATTCCTGAACTATGACAAGTCTAGAAATCTTTCACCTAAGACTCTAAAAGGGAAGAAGGTGAAGATGGGTTTGCTGATTGAACAAACTAAGCCTGTGGAAGGGGAGGCTAACCTAGAATGTCCCAGTGGACATGGATCATGTACATTAGATTGTAGAGGATGGATTCAGGTTCCATCCCTGGGCAGAACTGGGAAGCTGGGGATGGAACCTGGGACAGGCAGCTCGTTCCAGAATCTGCTTTATGTGACACATAAACTGCTTTTATTGTAGTATTTCTTAATGCTCTGTCAGCAGTCTTGCTTTGAATCATGAGTGTCCTTGGCACCAGATTAACAGAGAACAGATGAATCCCTGAACCTGTCTGACAGCTGCACTGAGGCAGCAGTGGTTTTAGCTAAAATGTTAAATACATTCAACGTGCTCCTATTTAGCAAGTAGAATGTAACATCTTTTGGTATCTTTTTTCCCAGATTTAGCAGTCTGAACTTGTCAAACCACAGATATGATTTTTATTTTTTTATGTATTATTTTTCAATCTAGCAGTACAGTTAAATGTAAAATAGGAAACCAGCTATGTTTGATGGTTTGTGCACTTTTTTCCACCTTTTTAAACTGGTGCACTTACCCACTGCTGAAGTCCAGATATGCAAACTCTAAAATAGGTTTGTTCAATAAAACTATTTCTATATTAATCTAGAAAAAAAGAATCAAACCCACTAATATCTCCAAATTAATGAGATTATTGCAGCACATATAATGCTTGACATGCCAGAAATGATCTGCAGCCCAGTCCTGCCTTAGTTCAGCCCAGCCCTGAGCTCAGTGCCCTCAGCTCCTGTCTCAGGGAGGGAATAGGTAATTGGTGCTGTGCTGGCCTCTGCAGTCCCCAGATCTGCAGCCCTGCTGGTCCATGGGCTCTGGTGCTGTGACCTTTGTCTCTGGGCCCCAGGCAGGGCTGGCCATGCACTTCTTCAGCCAGAAACATTTCCCAAGGGGATGGATGATTGTACTTCTAGTCTTGCAAAGTATAGTGACAGAATGTCTGATTTTTTGTTTTCATCTGGGTCCTCAAAGTTGAAGTGAACTTCTGTGGATTAACCAGAGTGAGGAGATTCTCTGCAATTTACTGCCTGAGAACAGTTGTAGAATCTTCTGGTCCTGTGCTTCTGCTTCTTCAGCCATCCTGACTCTCAGTATTGTCCCCATCTAGGACTTCTTATCTTTGCATTTCCTGAGTGCCACACATGATTTTGTACTTCCTCCTTCTCTTGCACCCATTAGCCTCAGTCTTTTACAGATATGAATCTCTGTGTGGAAAATGTTTTGTAACTTTTTTTTTTGAGCGTGGGAAGGGAAAGGCAGAACTATGGTTCTAACTATGGTCAGAACTATGCTCATAATCCACTCTATCAGACAATGTATATTTTGTAGTTAATTTTTCCCATCCAAAATAGCTAATTTTGTCTATTTTGGGCTAATTCTTTTGTTCTTATGGGCTTGTCTGCTGTGAACTGTGTATTGAAGACTGCTGATACTCTGAGCTGAGTAATGACACTTTTTATACAGATCTTTGAAAAATCAGATGTAAGTGTGTCCTTTCAAATTTCCCTTTAAGAAGTTGAGATTTGTTTATCATGGCAAGTATCTACATATGTAGAGAGAAAGTGTTGATATTAAGCTGCTAAAGCTGAAGCATTTGAAAATATCTTCCATGATCCTAAACTTTTAGCATAAAAATTCTGGTAATGATCTCTCTGTTGCCTTGAAAAATGAAAGCCAGGCTTGTTTCCTGAAAGATCCCTTTAAAAGAGGGATTTTCATGCTTAAAAAAGTTAAATATTTGATTTTCTCCTTATCAGGGTCTGAAACTGTTTCTTTCAGTGGAGTTGAAGTAAAAATAATCAGCTGTGATTCGTGTTCTCTTCTTTGCCTGTCTCCATGGCAGTGAAGTGATTTAAATTGGTGTGTCCATCTCAGTCCTTGTAACACTGCCATCCTTTTAAATGGGAGCTGTTTTAGTCCTCAGTGCTGGACTCAGGCAGTGCTCAGACTCAGACTGCAGCTTCTGCTCTACCATGCAGTACTTGGAGTACTCTGCAGGGTGTTAGAAAAAGAAGGGTCTAATGGCATTGAGACATATTTATAGTTTGTTTATTTTGTGCATACAGAGAAGAAAATAAATTTATAGGGTTGAGATTTTTTAATTTGTTTTTTTTTGGTTTTGTTCTTTTTTAAGATGTAGGAGATAAAAAGAAATTGAATTCTCCCTTGGAAGAGCAGAATTTATTTCATGGAAGTATTAACCATGCTTCAACAGTAACATAAATCTCCTGTCAGATTTCTGAATTGAAGTAAATGATAAAATAATCAAATTTAAAACTCCAGATGAACTGATGAGTCTCTGGATATCATATCTCTGTTTGCTAACATACAACATGAGGAGTTTAAGAAGTTTGACTCTGCACACAGGTTGCATGTGAGAAAATACTTTTCACAGAAGAGCTGTACAAGTTATTTATGGTCCCCAAAGAGGGGAATATATAGTCCACAATTCAAGGAACTTTAATTAGTAAACAAAGTTTATTCCAAAATATGCAACAATGGAATAATGCAGCATAATGAGTGTTAGATACTTTTCCCAGAAGCTGTACTGGTCTTGCATGCAAGGTGATATACAGAGCTCTCATAAGATTTTTCTGGCATGTACTTTTTTCTTCTTTGTTTCCCTTAGCACAGGAAAACATCCATTAGTGATTCTAATCATGAACCTGTTGTGTTCTCTTCCTCCTCAACCTGCCCTAATGAGTTGAAATTGCTTGCTTTTTAAATGCAAGACTTCAGAGAAACTGATTGGATTTTAACAGTATTCACTGAGAAAATGTCTTGAGGTAGATTCCATTAAATTTAATTGCTGCCTCTCTTACTCTGCCTTTGTTAGAGTGTTGCATGACTTGGGAAAAACAATTTGAGTGTGTGCTGTGTTCTAAGCTGTTGTTGAGACTTGAATGGCACATACCAGATGTCTGTCTTTTGGGAACTTGACCTGCCAATAAAATATTTGGAATGTGTACATTGATTTGTATAGTAATGGCAGGAGGCCCCTTGTGTATGAAAGGGCTCAGTAGGATGATCCAAATTTGAACATTTCTTCTATTGCTGCAAGTGCATGGTCTGGTAGTGATTCATTTCAGTATCCATTGGAGGCCTCCTCCTAACCCTGCAATGCTTGAAAGAAACACATTTGGTGAATTGTCCAATCTGGTATCACAAAGCAGACATACTCTCCAGTGTTCGCATTCAGTTCAGTGATAATCTGTTTTGTTGGTTGTCAGTGAAATAAGGTATTGTGAGTTTATTTTAGGAACAGCAGTAAAAACTGAGATCCATATTTTGCTGAAATACTGAACAGTAAACCAGAGTTTCTTTTTTGCAGTAGTGGGCAACATAAAAAAAAAAAGAATTTTTATTACTGAATCTTTATGTAGTAATGTCCTCCTATCTAGAGCAAGACTTGTTTATATGAAGTTACTGTGTGAGGTTTTGGCACTGGTGAAGGGAAGGACAATGGTGATGTTGTAAATGCTGATATTTAGCACAGCAAGGACCTCAACTGATTTGTGATACAGTAATCTGGTTCATGAGAGACCTTTTAGAATGCCAATAATAACTGGCTAGAATTTGACTGGTTTCATAGGCACTGTCAGAAGCTGAACCCTCAGTGCTGCTCCTACTGTTTAAATCTTTTTTATATAAGTAGTGGGAAACCTTTTATTTGTTAAAGACTTTAAATCCTTTCCAGCTCGGCTGTAAAACATGTCTTCTGGCAAGAAATGATTTGTGACATACAGAACTGAGTAGGAAAGATTTAGAAAATGGATTCTAAAAGAGGTCACTGTCATTAATTTAAATTTGTTTCTAACGTTTCAGATTTTTCTTCTTGCCTGTCCCCCATGTCGGACTGCAATGATTCTCTTCAGGTATTACCTCTTCCTTACTGTCTTTCTGTCCACTTGTACAATGCATTTTAGAAGTTAATTTATAAAATATGAAGGCATATCAGCTGGATTAAAAAAATGACACTTTGAGAAGGGTCAGGGCTTAAATCAGGGTGTTGGGTCCCTTATGCTTGCTTCTCTTGTGGTGGTGGGATTGGCCTTGCTGATAAACAGGAATTAGCTCAGTAACAGTGGATTAATGCAGATTAATGTATGAACTACTATAATTTGTGCAATTTTACCATCCTCAGTAGAAATTGTAACTGGGCCTTGCTGGAAGCTGTGCAGGCAGTCTGGGTCTGATTTCAAAATTTTTGGATAGGTGAAGTTAAATAGAAAAAGCAAATTCTCTCTGGCTTGGTTGGGTATTTCTCAGATCTGTGCAGTCTTTTCTAAAAGCCTGCCTGTTGTTACTGACTTCTGCAGCAGCCGAGCCCAGGGTGCAGCTGAGGGTGCTGAGGGGAGGGTCAGGGATTTCCTGGGCACTGGAACTTGGCACTGGCTGGAGCTGCCATTGTGGCATTAAACTCTGCTCTCCCTTGGCTTAGTCTAGGCAAAAATGGTGCTGGGGGAATGCCTTAGAAAGTCCTCCTGCAGCTTTTCCCTGCTGTTCCTTATTTCTGCAGGGATTATGCTGAAAAAGACTCTGTATTAGCATTTCTGTCTTGGAGAGTGTGAAAAGTATGTCTGCTGTCCAGGAAGTCTTTGCTAAAGACCAGTTGTAAAGCAAAGGGCACAATATTTGTTGTTTTTCAGAATGAGTATATCTATTTTCTAACACCCTGACAGCATATAAATTATATTTGAAAATCTGTTTTAAAATTGTAGTACCTTTTCCTCCCTCAAGTTACTTTTAAATTCCTAGGAGTTTGAAAGACAGTGGTGGGAGACAATTTATTCTTTAGTTTGTGTCTGATGTAAAATAAACTGAAACAGTTCTGATACCAATTTTCTGTTCCTGTGATCTAACAGTAGTTCAGAAGAAAGATGACTGAAAGCTGTACAAATTATGGAGTATAATACTTTCCTGCATTATGCTTTGCTTAGGACTTGCTGTTGCATTTTGGTAAATGTAATTATTTTATTTAAGGAACTTCTTTCAAATTCTTAAAGCTTCTTTGAAGCTGTGCATGCACAGCATTAAAGAGGAGTAAAACCCTTTATCAGAGATGCTATATTAAGCTCTGCAAGACAAGTGAACAGCAGAATTCCAACTATTTAGCAGCTTGCATCATGAACAGGATTATGGGCAGCCCAGGCTTTCTAGGAATCCAAAGCTCATTATACAAAGCAGTCCTACTTTAGGAAATTCTTTAAGTGTGTATTTAAAGATAGAGTTTTGGCCAGTTTTATTGCATTTAACAGTGACTTAATTAAAATTCAAGCCTAAATAATTTTTTAAGTGTCTTGCTCTTTTATTGAAGAGATACAACATAAAAGACATGAAAATAATATTACTTCATTTTATTTCCATGTGTGAAAATAATATCTCATCTCTTTTCTAAGGTTGCAGATGCATATGCTGAATGGGGCCCTCTTAGCATTGCTCTTTCCTGTTGTTAATACACGCCTGGTGAGTGTGCTGTGGTTTCCTTCTCCTTTTGATTCCTTTCTAAAAGGTTATCTTTGGAGAGATGTCAGATGTTTGCTTTGCTGGGCCTTTTAAAGTTCATTTAACCAGGCTGTAGACTCCTGGTCACTACAGTGGAGCCAAAATAGCAGTCTTGGATTTTGGGATGTTTATAACGTGGTCTGAGAAGACAGCACTGCTGTATTGAGTGTTAGCTCCATTCTAGCCACTCATGGAGGGAAAACGTGATGGCTTTGAAAGAGCCTTTCACAGGTTACCCTTGTGGCCTGTGGTCAAAATTCAGTTTCAGACATTTCAAGCTCTGTAAATGTAAGATTCCTCAGGCCTGGAAAATGCCAAATGTTGTTGCTGGCTGTCATTCCCTCTCCCCCAAGATTAGGCACAGCAGATTTATTTTTTTTTCCCATACAAGTTTTCAAATCTGCTGTAAAACTTCAGTCTCCTGGGCAAAAGATTAGCCTGTTGGCGTTCCTAGTGAGATTCTTAAACCCTTTGAGATTTAAAGGTAAAAAAAAGCTGTTTTGAGTGTGAGCTGAATGAAGTAGTTTTGAGGATTATTTTAAGAGCTGTTCTCCATGCATATGTAGAGGGGGTGTATACCTATGTATGACTAGATACTTCTAATTTTTTTCATATGATTTATCTGCAAAAATCTGTTGTTGCAGCTATTTTAAAGTCTGTTTTAAGACAGATATGAGTACTTTATATTTAAGCAAACTACATCCATAATAAAGGGTAAATTAATATATTATACCAAAATGGTTGTGGGCTTCAGACTCCATTTCAGATTTTGTTGGCGGATCTCCACTTGCAAGTCTTGACTGTCTAAATAAGATAGAGTATAAACTTATGCTTATGTGCAGTTTGCAATTACATTTTATTACAACTTGATACCATTAAAGAGGCAACAAATTAATAAAACAAATGTTCTTTTCCTGATAAGGAAAACTCTTATTTTATATTTAAAGCCATCTAGTTTTTAAGTGTATATAATCTTAGGCATGACAACATTGGTCTGGGTAACCTAAAGAAAAAATGTTGAAGTGTTTAATAAATTATCAGCTTGTATTTTCTCTGCCATTATCACAGGTCTCATTTATATTAGAGCAGTGGTGATTAAACAAGAAAGATACAGACTACTTATAAAACTGTTCCTGTAATTTGGAACAGAGTAGCCAAAAGATACTGTCCAAAAGTAAATATTTTTGGAATAATTACAACTTAAGATATTTTGGCCTAACTGCTGCTTGCCAGGCTTTTCACTTTTCCATGTTTCTTCTGGCACAGGACATGTGGGTGATGTTGTTCAGCACTGCCTTGATCAGACTCTCTCATGGCAGACACACATTCTGCTCCACAGCTCTCACTGTGGTTTTAACACCAACATTGTCCCAAAACAGGAAATTTCTCCTAAAACCTAGTAGGAATTAAAAAAATAAAAAACCTCAATTTTTTTCTAAGCTGGCTGCTCTGGTTTTTTAACACCTGAGTGGAAAACTTTTGATTCAGTCATTCAGAATGAGAGACAATCATTGCTTCAGCAGATGATGGATGCTTTAGTGGGTATCAGGATTTGGGTTGTGTTAATTTGTTCAAAGTAATTTCCAGAACACCTCTTACATTTTGTGGCAGAGACTGTTAGGGTCATGTGTTTTTGATAGCAATTACATTACTTAATGAAATGCAAATGTCTTTTTGGAAATATGCTTCACTGTTCAGTTAATGCTTCACTGTTCAGTTGTCCTGAAGTGGAAGCTTCTGGCATAATTTCGTGGTTTCCATTTTCTTGTAATGCATCTCTTAATTTTTTTTGTTGTTTTTTTAGAACCTCAGTAATTTCAAAATTCTTTTAAAATAATAGTATATTGCCAGTGACAATGGAGAGTTGACATATTCACTGAAACTACAGTAGAAAGTTTCTACCTTCTGTTATTTTAATCTTTCAGTCAGACTATGCTAAACAATGCCGTTAAAAATCTTGTTGGACTATAACAGGCACCTGGGATGGTGTTCAAAAAATGTAGTCTGAAAGGTGAGGTCAGTCTATTCTGTTCTTTCCAAGAAAACATTTTCCTGCCTTGGCATGAGGTTGAGGTGCCAACAATTAACAGACTTAGGCAACAGATGCACCCACTTGTATTTGTTTGGCACCCAAATATTGCAGTTCTTTGCTACCTTATTTACCATGTGCTGATGAAATTAAACTCTGTGCTTTGGGATAGACATTGGATAAAAAGATAAAACTGTTTCTTGTCCAGTCAGTGCTTTTGTGAGTTCTTCTTGTCCCTTCAGAAATAAAGAAGATGCTGAGGGAATTGGCTTGTTAAGCTCCCAAAAGGGATCCAGCAAGGCTTAAGAGGATACACAGGAGTAGAAAGATTTCTTTTTACTCTGTATTTATATTCTATGGCACACAGTGTAGGTCCTGATAACCTCACTGTGCATGTAAATTCATTTGACTGCCACAAAAATTCAGACTGTTTGGACAGTAACTGGGTCTGCTGGAGCTTTCATGTTGTATTACTCAAATTTTAAAGAAAGGTCTTTCCACTGGTTTAAAAGTGGGGATTTTTTGCAAGCTGATGTCCTGAAAATGTTCATATAGATAAAGTAAAAAACAGGACATGTCCCAAAAATGTTGGATACATGGGTATCGGCTCACATGGCTGAGATGGTGCAGTTTTAATGTTTCCAGAAGCTGCTGTATTCTATTATTAGAACTATTTGGCCTGAGAGATTCACATTCTAAACCTGTGTTAGGAGTAGAGGAGTAGAGTCACAGTCTGAGCAGGACTTTGAGTATATTCTGTGTATGCTCCAATCATTGGCTGCTGTATTGCTGCTGATTGTTGGAATAATTCACTGCACTCAATGGTTGGCCTGTAATGGCTGTGCCTGCACAGCAGAATGGAATAGGTTTGGTAGCACATTGTCATCTCTAAACTGGCTTAATCTGATTGGCACAGGGAAAACAACAGGAGCAGTGGGGGCTGTTGAGAGATGGTGGCTGGGAGGTGATAAAGCCAAAGTTTGTGCATATTTGGGCACATGTACATGCTGTGTGCATGAAAATGGTATGAGTGTGTCATTTACTGATAATGTCTAAGAAGGTGGCTGGTACGGTACAGTTTGGTGGTTTTTAGGCTGTTCTGGGTGTCCTACAGGAAAGACCAGAATCTGAGAGCTGAATCCCTTCTATTCCTTTTCTGCCACAGTCTGCAGTCTTTGTAGAGAATGATGGAGGAGGTGCTCTTGCACAGTGCAGTGCTTGAGCCAGGGTATAAATAATTAACAGAGAGTGGAGTGCTATTGTCAGAAACCAGAGCAAAGTGTCAACCCGTGGGCCTACTGAAAACCAGCTGCTGTGTCTGAGTGTTTCATCTAAATCAGTATTATGTCCATACTCTCTTGGGGTGAACTCAAAATATCTGACTTCTGAGCTCCACTCAACTGCTGCCTTGAAGAGATTTTTCTAAAGCTGAATTCAGTGCATGGAAAGATCTCATTGTGCTCTTTGGGCAGTAGCTGGTTTAAGTTAGAACATGAAGTCTTACTTGTTTTCACAAAGAGATTCTTGAAATCCTTGATTGATGGGCGATCCCTTGTGCCTTGTCTTCATTTCCAGTTTCTCCTCACATGTGAGAGGTTCTTAAGCTTTTATTGATAAAACTGTTTATAGAAAGGCACAAGATGCAGGTGAGTTAGTTGCTCAGTGCAGCTTGCTTTTTGTGTTTGTTGTAGCCTGGCTGTACAACTTGAGTGCTTGGTTGTACAGCAACTCTGCAGCTCTACAGCAGGAAATGCACTTGCAGAATCAGCCAGGCTTCAGAACAAGCCTTCTTTTACAGTGGGAAAAAAGATGTTTTGTTTTACACACAAAAAAATACTGTCAGCACTAGTGCAGCATAACAACTGTTACTCTGTTCTCAGGAGTGTCCCAGCACAGTGTTTGTGTAACAGATCCTCACAACTCCACGGCTGTGGAAGCCCTTTTGACACCACAGATAAATGGAGAATGCTCCTTGGCAGTAGTGAGTGCCTCATGTTGTGGTGTTTATATCAGCAGCAATCGTTTCTGAAGTGGGAGAGGTACAGTTTTTTCTCCAGTTAGGATTGCTGCTTTAGCCCCATCTCAAATAATTTTAATTCCCTCACTTTGCTCTCTGTCTTGTTGAAGGACAGTAGGAAAGGTTCAGATTTAGGAAACCCCACAATTTTCATGAAGTTCTTGCTTTTGCATAGTTACCTTGCTTGTGTTTGTTTTAGTACAGAATACTTGGAATGAAATAACCCAACAGATTGTACGGGAGGGCTGGTTCAGCTGGCTGAGCACCTTGGAAGGTGCCATCAGGACACAAACAGTGTCCAGTGGGTGAATGCCAGGACTAGCAAAATCCAATTGTTGTTTTAGAATCTTCTACATTCAAAATAGGATACAAGAACTGTAGTTGAATTTAAAAGATCACTGTAATTTACCAACTGTTAGACTGGTTAGCAAGAAAATCAAACTCTCTTTCAACCTCTCTTCTGTTGATGTAGAAATTTCTGTAATGTTTCAGTTTCAAGGCTGTGACTTCAGTGTCTCAGAAGAGTCACAGAAAAGGAAGGCTTTTCTCCCCACTCCCTGCTTCCCAACACACAAGCCACAGTGGTAGGTCCTGTCTGAATTCTTCTGGCTGGAAAATGACAGAATGAGTCTGCATTTGAACCAAGGTTTTTCATTATTCCCATGACATTTCATACTTGTGGTATTGTCCAATTTTCAATTCAGAAAAATAATGCAACAGTGTGGCTTTTCAGCTCTGTAAGTCAGATGCAGGAAAAAGCTGAATTCCGAATTTTTGAGTGTTTTCTACTACTGTTCAGTTTTAAATGTGCTGCTTTAGTGTAATAAATAGATATAGGCTAAGGTACTTATAGATGGGAGTAACTTTCAAATACAGTGCATCCCCTTTTCTAAGTGATAAAGAGCTAGAAATAGTTGGGTCTGGATTAGGAGGCTCAAACACTGAGATATGGTTGAAGTTATTTTTAGTATTATTTTAGGTGTCTGACTTCTTAGAAGAGAAGTTGCACTCATTCAAATAAACACACAAATTACTAATTGTAATTTCCCAAAAGTTGGCAGCTGGTGAGAAATACCTGATTTACTATTAAGTGGTAACTTGCTTAAACATAATTTGCAGCTTGTCTTTAAAACCAATAAATGACTGGTCATTTTATATTTTAATTTATATTTGGTCAAGCTTAGCAGTTCTGTACATGCATATGGGTTGCTTTAAATCAGGTCTTCTGATTTTTTTGCACAGGCCGCCTCTTACATTACTTTTATATATATATTTACATACTTTTATATATAAAAGACCTCATTTATGGAATTCTCTCACAAGGTGGCAAGTATCTTCTCTTTCTAAAAATACTTCTATGCTGTGGGGGTGTGCATAATTTCTGATTTAATTATTTAAGTGGTTTGCATTGTTATTGGTAATTCATGCTAGCAAAGAAAGGGAAAGAGCACCCTTATGTTACTCCTCCTTTGTTGTGCTTCTGGCTAATTTTGGGAATTACCTACTGGAAGTGCTGTGTTTGTGTTAAGGGGGATGGAATGGGCACAGTCAGCTGCACTTTCATGGCACTGACCATTAATGTTTGTTATTATACATAGGTGATAAAATAACTGAACTGAAAGCATTGTCATGGGTTGGAAAGAGAATTGTTCCTTGGACCTTGGTTGTTAATGATGAAAAATACTTACAAATATTTTCCTTATTCCACAGCTTCCATTTGAAACAGAGATTTATTACATCCAGCATGTGATGCTCTATGTTGTGCCCATCTATCTGCTGCACAAAGGAGGTAGGTAGGCATTTACTCCCTGTGGATTGAACTGGTCCTAGGGAATGAAAACACTGTGCTTACTGCATAAAAACAGTTTTATTCTTACACTTTTTAAACCAATTTTCTCTGGTTTTAATTTATAGTTCCTGATGTTCTAGTGTTCTAATGTTGGAGTTTTAACCCAGGTAATGGGTTGTGTCAGGCACTAAACAAAAAATTTTAAAAATGGTCTTTTCTTTTGCCTGAAGGAGTATTTAGAATGTATTTGTACAATGTGCATTGTCTTCTTGAGCAGCATCTCTGCCATCTTGCAATATTCTCAGTTGTTGGTGGGATGTATTTGTAAGATTTTTACCTTCTTGGATGTCTCTTGAGAATTACTGAACTCAAAATAAGCTAAAAAAAAATTAGTTGTCTAGTTAGATAAATCCCAGAAATTCTGAAGCTCCAGTGGAATGTAGTGACATGTATCACTGAAATGAACTAGATTGCCTATCTCTTCCAACAATATTGCTGTCTTGCATTCACTTGTGCCATAACAGCTCAGTAAGTCTGGGAATCCTAAATTGTTCCCCTGGCCAGTGATTTTTCCAGCTGTGGATTCTCAAAGGGAATGCACTGTACATTCAGCTGGTGTGGTGCTCTGCCCCCCTCTAGTGCTGACATGCCTCTAGCTGCATTTTCTGGCAGAGCTGGATTGCTCCATCCAGGAAATGAAATATGATCATTTGTGTCCACATGTTCAGTAGCCTTTAATGAAAGCCCTGAGGATGTGATGTCAAGCAATGGGATGCAGTCAGGCTCTTGCTTCCTGCTGAATCCATTGTGTTTTATACCAGTGGTCACAAAATCCTTCATCCTATTTCACTGTAACCTTTGTGTTGCACTGATTGCACTGTGACCTGCTGAGTGAAATTAAGAAAAGTTATTCAAAGGAAAAGTGAAGTCTTGTACTTAAAAAGATGATTCTGTTTCTTTTTTTTTTTTTTTATCAGGGAAATATGCTGTCCATGTTTTAATTTTAATCCACCCTTGATAGCCTAAAATTCTGGCAAATAATGCCAAAGTGCAGGGTAGTTGTAGGAGTTACACAAACTCATAATCTTTGCAGGAGGAGGGTGAGGAGCAGGGGGCAGAAAACGTCAGCAGCCATGGAGTGAACTGTAGGTAGTGACAAAGCTCTTGTGATGTCAATAAATCACTTGGTGGTCTTGGAGTTCCCATCTGAGGTCACTTTAAGACAGTCCTTTGCTTTAAAAAGTCTTGGCCTTGGATGATGCTTGATGTGTTCTTTTAAGAACCCTTTTGGTGGTTTGGCTTTTTGTTTGTTTTGCAGTAGAGGTTCTCAGGGTTCTTCAGGACCTGGGACTGACAAGAACTGGATTTGCAGTGTGAAGGGTTTGATGTTGGACACTTGTCACCCTGGCTCAGTATCCTGAACCCCTGCCCTGTGCTTATGTACAGGTATTTGCTGCCATCTAACGTTCACGGGATGGCAGTGGAATTGCTGAAAGAACTTTGTTGGCTGAACCTGTCAATTGAGATTGCTCTGGGCTGTTTAACTAAAAACTGCTCCATTTCTTATCCACTTGGTTCCTCGTCACCTGACTGGCTGTAATTAACAAAACACCCATGAACTTCTGCCACAGGTGACATAATGGATCATTTTTGGTGGAAAAAATATGTAGCCTAAAATATTTGTTAATGTTAATTCTGTAATTTCACTAGCACCTCTGTTTAAGTACCTTCTGAGTAGGTCACACAGGCCTTTGTCATGAGTTCTGTATCTTGTGAAAATTGCTTTTTCATCACTGACATTGATCAGCATGAAGCTTGATTTCAGTATTGTAAATAGAAATTTCCATCAGTGAATCTGTAGATTATGATTGAGAGAAGTAATCGAAGGGTAGAAGATTGAAAAAAATGAAAAGGAACGGATTGTATTTGGAAAAATATACTACTTCAGTTTTATTGAGAATCTGACTAAATTACTGGTGACCTTGATAGGATCCAAATGTTTCTCAAAGATTGGGTGAGCAGAACACCTGAAGCAGAGTGGATTTCAGGCTCAGGCTATAGAGAACTGCACCCTCAAGTTTGCTTGCAATACTTGAGATATTGCACCAGCCATGCACACACATCCAACTGCCTGCTGAAGTGTTTCCTCTTTGAAAGGAAACTGGTGACAGTAAGCAAGGGCTGTAGTAATTTATTTTCTGTCTTTTCCTGCTGCTTATTACAGTGGTGCAGACTGGTCATGCTGCACTGGCAACCTTCATGTCCTTCCTGACCCTGTAAGAGGGGGGCTTTGCCACACTCAGCAGCACGTGGATGAGAGAGGAGCTTGGAGCTCAGCATTCAGTGTTGCACAGGGAACTCACTGGAGCTGAAGGACATGGATCCCTTTTGGGGATTAAAAACTCCTCTTCCCTCTCACTCCTGTCTGTACTGAGGGAATATAAATTTCCATACTTCCCTTTCTTAATATATTTTCTTCCTAAGTGCATATATGCATGTATACATAGCATGCATGCCAGGCTAGACAAATTAAATGCTTTTACACCGTGGCTCATCTTTCTTGGCAGCACTAAGAGGCTCTCATGCAAAATAGATGTAGTGTGGATGCAGCAAGCCAGCACACAAGATTCCTACCCCAAGTCAGTTCTTACATAAAGTGTATCTGTAGTTGGCACTTGTATTTCACTGGATGAATCTCACCTTGTGTCACCTGCCTCCCAACATTGCAGTATGCATCTGAGCGGGACACAGCATTCCAGAAACTGCTGGAGCATTTGAACCAGACCTGGCAGGTCACTGTTTTCTCTTGTCCTTAAAAAGTGAGAGACCTTCAGTGGGGTCTAAGGACAGCTAAGTTCTTAAACTGTGTATTCTTAAGAAAACAAAAAGAAATCTAGCTTGCACTACTTCAGGTTTAGAGACTGATGATGATGGCTCTTGTTTCTGACTGTCTTAAGCTTGTTTGGTTAGGTTCTGCAATGGATTTGACAAGGTCAGGTGTGCACCTTATTTCAGAACATCAAATCATATTGAAAGTTAATCAAGGTGGAATTGTTATTTCCTTAGTGCAGTGATCAAATGATATTCTAAATTACATTATTCCACAGCAGACTGAAATAAGAGTGAATTTGTAGCAGCTCCCTAGAGCTCAGGAGATAATCTGCCCTGTGTTTTGATATCCCCAGTGTTATTTATTTGAGTTAGTAAACTCCAGTAGGTAGAAGAGGCTGTTGCTGTTGAGGTGTTTGGGATTCTGTGGCTGCAGGGAGTGATGCTGAGAGTCTGTCGGGCAGGGGGTCTGTCAGGC